TATGAATATTATCATATAGAAACACTAGAAAGTAGACGAGCACAAAGCGATATGAAACTGCTGCACGCAATATTAAACAATAAGACTGATTGCCCTGAACTTCTATCAAACATATCCTTTCAGGTTCCAAAGCAGCGAACGCGCCATACACCCTTGCTATATGTACCTCCTACTAAAACCCAATATGCCAAAAATTCCATCTTAACGCGATCAGTTAAAATTTATAATGAACAATACTCTGATTTGGATATATTTAAGTTATCTGAAGTAGTCTTTAAAAAAGAGATAAAAAAAAAGAAGTATAGCCATTAAGTCAAAATACGTGAGCAGTCATTGATTTGTTTATTTTAAGTAATAATAATAGAATTTATTATTTGAGCATACACACACAACTTCACACAATACACACACACACACACACACAAGCACACACACACACAAGCACACACGCACACATACACCTTTATATTTTTACCTTTGCACCAACATAATAGATATTATCTTTAGATCTAAAACATCTTTTGAATATCTACATTTTATTTTACCATTTTGATGCCTGTTGTTCATTATTATAGTATTTTTAGTGTAATCTAATTTTGGCCTTATTGTAACTCTCCTTTGTGTACAATGTGCAATCTTAAGTAATACTGTAACGCTGTTTGATTACCAAATAAATAAAAATAAAAATAAAAAAAATAAAAATAAAAAATAAATAAAAAAATACTTACTAAGTCACGTTCAAATATAAACCCTATAATTGTAAAAATAAAGTTGAAATGTAAATAACTTGATATAACCGGACGTCATTTTTTTGAGCACAGCTGATTTAGACAGCAGCTGATTATTTACTAAGTTTGCCAACTAAATGTTAAATTGAATTCTACTACGTTTAGAATAAGAGTCATTATTGTGTGTGATATTTTTCGGTTTTAACAGAAAATAGGGAAGAGCGTGAGAAATTCGGGAAGAAACTTCTTCGATAGTACCAGGAGTTCATGGGTTAAATAGAGTATAAGTTCCCACGTCTTTAAGTTTCTCACGCCTTATCAAACTTGATTTGTGTTCATTGAAATTGCTTTTGTCGGTATGGAATTTTCAATGCTACTTGAAAAACTAATAAGTACATAATATAATTTAATACTATTGACACTATTGATGAAGGTTTTTTTTTTAATTGAAACTCATTTGAAATCATAATTATTAATTCCTAAAAGTTATCGATCAAGACAATTATTTTATATACATATATGAATTTAACTTTTTTTTTCTAAGAACTTCTTATGTGACAATAAAATAGTAAGAGAAGAACTAAGACTGGAAAAAAAGAAGTAAAATTATTTTAATATACATATATATATTATATATCTTAAACTATGTTAATTATTATATGTAAAAGTTAAAATCGTTTATTATTGAACTCTTTTAGAGATGTAATTAATTAACATCATTATTGGTATAAAAATATCAAATAGATTTTGAATGTAAGGGAATGAATCCAACCCCATCCCGATCAATCCCTATTGGGAAGCTATCGGAAATCATCGATAATGGAAGCAGTATCGGAAAGTACTAGGCTCACATAGACCAGAGAGAGTTCTATCGAACGAATCAATAAACGATATCCCATGCCTATCTATCAATTTATGCTCTCAACCTGTACGAAGACTCCAATAGCTCTTATGTTAAGCTGAATAAAGGTTATATTGTTATATGGAATATTGCTTATGTTGCTGGCTGTAGAGGGACGGCAGGTGTGCATTCCAACAGGTGTTAGACTGTGCATGTACTTTTATGTCAAAGAATGTAAAAAGTGATAAAATGTCGTTTAAGTATGTTCATGAAATATTTGGCCTTGTAACATGTTTTGAGATAGGCATTGATTAGTTTTATTACTTTTATAAATAAACAAAAAGAAAAATACAGATTCCGTATTACACATCTACGAATTTTAGTCAATAGCTTCGTGACTATGTTTACTTGTAAAGCATTCGAAACTTTGGAAAATAAAATATAAAATACTAGCGACTTACCCTCGTTTCGCTCGGGTTCGTCCTTAGGTTGATTCCCCATATAAACTTCCATCCCATTTTCAACCCATTAAGGGATGATTTCCGGGATAAAAGCTATCCTATGCCCTTCCCAGAGTTTTAAACTATCTTCTTACCAAATTACAACATCTAAATCGGTCCAGTAGTTTCGGAGCTCATTCGATACAAACAAACAAATAAGAAATCTTTCCTTTTTACAATATTAAGTATAGAAAACCGCAACAAAATCCGAAAAGATAGTTTCATTTTAAATCACGCAAAATTACGGTTACGGTTTAGAAAATAGTAAATCACCTAAACTAGGTGATAGGGTCGGTATAATGAAAATGTATTACAGCTATACAGGTCAGTGTAACAAGCTGGGATCAGCACTAATTTGTGTAATGGAGTGCGGTTGACCTTCCCCACTTCCTAGTCTTGGACTACGTATTCTATGAATTTTAGACATTAAAATACCCAATTTTATAAATTTCGTAAATTTATTTATGGAGTTTAATTTTAATATAAAAATTGCTAACTGTGATACACTGTATATCTAAAAAAATTGTATATGCGGACGGAAATATCGTTTTAGATATTTTTTTATTCTACGTAATTCTGTTTTTTCTTTCAACATTAAAGTATCCTATAGCTTTCTTCTTCAGAATGTAAGCTAATCTTAAATTCCAAATTTCACCGAGATTCGCAACATTTGTATAGGGTTTTAAGGCAAAGTTTTCCTAAGAAAATATTCTAATATAATAAGCGTATCTCCATAGCTCTATCTCGTGTCATACGAAGGCTTCCTTTTTCAGCATAAAGTATACCGAGTTTATTTTAGTCTGCAGCATTACAATTATTTCTGTACCTAATCCTGTGACCAATGAATTTACGAAAGCTTGAAGCTGTTGGTCTTGATGAAATAAAAAAAAATCCAATATTGTTATGCGATCAACAAATAAAATATACATGTCAAACCTTTTTGGTAAAAAAAATAAAGGAAAATCTTAATATGTTCCTATATATTATTAGAGTTTTAATTTAATTAGGCATAATAATAGAGCTCGAGGACTTTATCGAGAAATATTTAAAAAAAAAATTAAATTGTCATAAAATTGACAATTTCATAAAAGTGGGTTACTTTATATTGCGTCATATTTTTTAAGAAAACTCTATCTCTATCTTATCTCAAACTGAAAATAATAATCAAATCTTGAAATTATATAACAAAAAGCTGAGGATATGGTTGCCCTACTAGAATTGTTAGGGTCCACCACCTAATGAAAGCAATTTCCCCTTGAGATTGATGAATGACACACTTATAACATTTATTACATCGTAAAACAATTATGTTCTTTTGGAACGCTTAGATGAGGACACCATTCTATCTACTAAATAGATAGATAAGAAAATAGCCTCATAATGAATGCTAATGAAAGGTTTTTTATATTTATTAAGAATTCTATTTAGGTTAAAATAGATAATTGCATTTAACTACATTTGATTTAAGAAATTATGTAGATCAATCAGCATTGTTTTATAATTATAGTTTAATGATTTAAAGTCACGCGATTTATCTCTAAGGGGTAATAAGTATAATGGAAGTAAGTGATTTTGTCGTGATTTTGAATTGAGAGGAAAATCAAAAGTCAGCTTCAACGCACTGTCAACCTTAATTTTAAAAACGGCTAGACGAATTTTAGCATCGGTCTAAAGATTGTTAAATAACTAGCATGTACCCGTGACTCTGTTCACGTAATTATTTATCTTAGTCGCTCTCTGAGTTAAATAAACTCTCTCTCTCTCTCTCTAAATCTTCTAATTTTAGTAAAAATTCATTCATACACGTATCTATACTAAAGAGACAGAGTTTGTTTGTTTGTTTGATCGCGCTATTTCCCGAAACTACTAATTTGGTTTGAAAAATTCTTTTTGCATTAGACAGACCGTTTATTGAGGAAGGCAATAGCTTATATATTATCATGATGCTACTACACAAGGGAACGGAGCAGTAATCATAAATGTAAACAAATCAGGCAGACTTCCATACATTATTGTGAAACTGATATTTATAATAATCAAACAAATTTATCGCGGGTTAAGCCGCGGGGTACAGCTAGTTTATCAGTATTCTAAATAATATTAATATATTATTTAAAATATTGACATTTTTTAAATCACATGATTCCGGTAATGCATATTTGATAAGAGTGCTGCGGAACTTATACGATCCTTCATAATGTACAATAGATATTTGAACCCGCAAGCTACGGCGTAACGGGCAATGCCTATTAACACGTTACACTTTAATAATAATATAGGTAAATTACGTAAAAATAGGATTTATATATTATATAAAATTTATTGTAAAATAATGATTTGATTCTTTAAGTTGCCATTCTGATATAAAATACTTATTTGAGTTTTCTCAAATTGTCATCTTGAATGGAAAAAGAGCGGGAAAAGCATGGTGTTTTATTTTATGATTTAATAAAATCCGTCATTCATTTTCGTAATGTTGTTTGAGACGTTACTCCTACTCTGTACAAGATAATAGAAACTGTGAACCATATTGCATTGATTTTAAATTAGTCTACCTGACCTTCTTCTGTAATTTTATATTTGTTTTCATCCATACATACTAATATTATAAATGTGAAAGTATGTTTGTTTATCTTTCTTTCATATCGACAAAAAGAGACGGATTGGCGTGATTTTTGTGTAGAAATTGTTGGAGGCTTGGAGAGTGATATATGTTGACTTAATTTTACCACGGGACATTATCTCATTCCCATGGGAAAACACGTTATAACACAACCCACAACTAAAAAAATTTCAATATATGTAAATTGTTACACCTACCACGCAGAATACAATGTAGCACTAAACAAGAATATTCATAGAAAGTTTTATGACATACTGTTGTTTAGTAGTAAATTCAAAAATAAAACCAGTTGTTATTTTAACCGCAAAAATGTTAGTGTTGGCAACATTCTATACCACTAAAAGGTTTATTTAGATTGTATATACATAGTTTGTGTAGGTATACTAAGTACATTGAAATTATTTAACCAATCATAAAGTATCGGATAACTGGTTTTTTTTAAATTTGGGAAATGCATTTAGGCATATCACCTGCATACATACAGGTGGTAATGTGGTCACCGGCAAAGCCAGTACTATTCACTAAAAGCCAACGGAACCTCCCCCGTCTCAATGGGGCGTCGCAGGATAGTTTACGTACTCAACCACGACAGGTTTGCCGAAGCAGAATACAACAACCATGGGGTTGCTCCAACAGCCCACTCTGCTATCAGAGAAGTACCAGGAGCAACCCGCATGGTACGTTACCCACCGAAGTGGGGCCACCTCCAAATGCGTTTCTTGGCTTCCCGCCCGGCTGCATTGCTGGACTCTAATGAGCCCCCCACCACGACAAGGTAAACGCACGTTGAGGGGGATCGGAGAACCGATAAAGCAACGTCGCGTGATGCATAATTCAAGGTTATGAGTATATGTAATAATATTAATGTCGACTAGTTTATGTCCGCGGCTACATTACAGGTAGGTACGTCCATAAAAGTAGCCTATGATTTATTTTCATCTCGATTTTTACTAAAACCCGGTGAAAAAGTTACAAACGCAGCCGCTCACAAACTTTTACACTCATAAATAAATAAATCTAGGAGGTATAATTAAATATATATATATATATATATATATATATATATATATATATACATATATATATATATATATATATATATATTTATATAATTATCTCGTGTTACGGTGTTTGTGGTCGCATTCCTTCGAAACGACTCTACCGATTGTAATTATTTTTTTTGTATATTTGATAGGTATGAGAATAGTTCGTAAAATATTTTTCACCCTCCTACCCTCACCCACCCATTTTTTAATAGTAACTTTAGTATTTTTGTATAAACAATATTATACAAATACATAGCTGTAAAACATAAAGCCAAAGAGTTTTTTTCTGATTCTCCTAGTTATATATAAAGACACTCATTAACTTCTTCATGAATGATGTTATCTTCATGCTTCCTAGCAAATCAGATATGATAACCATACACAGATACGACATAATTGTTTATAAACACATTAACACACATCAAAACTTGTCACTTAAAAGTTTATTCGTGTACGTTTTAATAAAATAAAACCAACTAATATTGTCGAGTATAATATATTTGCCATGTTTTTTAATATATACCCTACCTATTGTGTATAAAATAGGTCCATTTTTAGGATAAACTTGTATGTTACATAAGTATCTTGGCGAGTAAGTTTCAAAATATGTACTACAAGTCTTTAAACGTAAAAAACTCTTCTCCACAGAGTGTCCACTTGCGCTTTAGCCTGAAAAAGAAAAATTATTTTGATGATTACTTATTTTATTTATATTATTAATGTATACTATACTAATAATAATATCTATACCAATATATAAAGCTAAAGATTTTGTTGCAATACAAACTTTCATCCCCATTTTCACCCCCTTAAGGGATTTCCGGGATAAAAAGTATCCTATGTCCTTCCCAGAGTCTCAAACTATCTTCTTTTCAAATCCTAATTCTGTCAGTCTGTCTGTCTGTTACCGCATCACGGAAAAACCACTGGAGGGATTTTGATGAAATTTGGTATGATGATAGCTGATTAACCGGTTCAACATATAGGATACTTTTTACTGCGGGAAAATGTCTCATTTCTGAGAAAAATACAAAAACTGCAATGTAAGTATAATATGTAAAACCTAAGAATTTGGTTTTTCGGCAATGCTAGTTTTTATATAAAAATAGAGATAATAATATCTGCTCAAATAATATTATTTAA